CACGTGGCATGTCGTGAAGGACATGCCCTGTCCACATGATCTGTGTCTGAGTTACACTCTAATTTCCACGCATCCGGCTCGAAGGACCAAATGTTCGCGAAATCGCTGATTAATCCCGGCGATGGAAACGGGATGAGAAGGACGCGCGTGGAAGGTGTTAACTAAATATTCACTTTATTTTTGTGTAACTCAGACCACAGTCTGAGCCGTCTTTAATGCGTCTTTAATGCGTCAAAATTGATACAATCTGACCCGAGAGTGATGAGCGGTGAACAAAATGAGGTGTCTATATAGTCTGTGTAAATGAAAGGCAATTATATTAATTGCCGTCCTCTTCGATGATTCGCCCGTGAGCCGGTGAGACACGTGGCGATCGGCACTCGCGCACATGTGAGCCTGAGTTGTCGTGTTGATGTACCCGAGTAGAGCTGGATGAGCGGTCGCCTTACATGTTAATGCAGTATCTCGGCAGCTGTTGTAATCACTGCGGTGGGCACCTCGATGTGTAGTCACAATCAAAAATGCACAGAGCACACGTCGTGCGTCTGATCATTGCGCGGCCATTTGTACGACTCTGAATATCGCGAGGAAGACGTTGGCGATGAGCGCGCCCGTGCGCGGCGCAAGCTGCCGCGGTGATCTAGCGTCGTTACCCGATCGATGCTGCCATCTGATCTGACGGCGCAACGTTAACGGAATCTCGAACATTCCGCCCGCCATCAGCAACCTTGTTGATGATTCCTTACTCTTGATCCTTCTTCCGGTTGAAATGGGTAATATGGCAAGCTTGGCACTTGGCCGAGTGAGTGTCGTGGTGGCCGTCTTGAGGGTAACCACCCTGGTGAGTCCACCCTTGCTGGGGTGCAAAGCTGTTTCTTTGGTGAGTGGCCATTTGCACGGTGGAGAGCGTTCGTCGGTGAGCAGCACGATGGAACCCATCTTGATGTTGTTGTTAGGATGATGCCACTTGGATATCGCCTGCTGGCGTTGCAGATAATGAGCCGACCATTGTGCCTAAAAATGTTGAACACGCTGCTGGATGAGCTGCCACCGAGATAGTCGTGAGGTTCCTAGGTCAATCAGAGATGGCTCGGGTATGGTAGTGATTGGACCTCCAATGAGGAAATGACCTGGTGTGAGCGCTGAGACGTCTTCAGGGTCGTCACTCAGCGGTTCTAAGTGCCGCGAGTTGAGAATGTTCTTGGTTTGCGTAAGCAACGTTGTGAGTCCTTCCGTCGTGAGTAGAGTCTCCCCGATAGTCCGTCTCAGATGAAACTTCAGACTTTACTACCGCCTCCCACTTGCCCCCCATGTGTAGAGCGCCTGGTGGGTTGATCTCCCATCCTGTGTCAGTAAGTTGTAAAACTTTAGCAATCCGTGATGTTCTTGAGAGCCTTGGATGAACATTTTCTTGAGCGCGGCGTCTGCTCCAATGAATGTTGTCCCGCAGTCCGAATACATGATCTGAGCAATTCCCCTTCTAGCTGAGAATCTTCGGAAGGCTGCTATGAATCCTTCTGATGGGTAGTCACTGACTACTTCGAGGTGAATTGCGGAAGTGGAGAAGCAGACGAACACAGATCCCTTTCTTGTATATTTTCACACCTCGTCCCTTCCATGTTTTGATAGTGAGCGGTCCGGCATAGTCAGCTCCTGTATGAGTAAACGGACGTGACGGCGTAACCCGAGAGAGAAGTAGTTGGCCCATCAGTTGATGAGCACGGATCCCCCTCTGCCGAGCGCACACGACACACCGAAAAATACAAGACTTCACCGGAGCCCGTCCGCCGATGATCCAGTAATTGTGCCTGACATGAGCCAATGTCAGCTGAGTTCCTCCAGTCCGGGTGCGCAAATGGGCGTGAGCGATGATTAAGGTTGAGAAGTGGCGAGGTAACATCGCCTGATGTTTGTTGTCTTGATCTAGTGCTGGTTGATTGAGACGGCCGCCAACTCGGATGAGTCCTTGAGCGTCTATGTACGCAGTCAATCGACTGGATGCGTGAGCAGTTGGTAGTCTCGAGTTGGCCGTGAGCATCTTGATCTCGTACGTGAAGTATGCCGCTTGAGTAGCCTTAATCCAGAAGAATCTGGCCTTCTCCAAAGCAGAGTGCGAATCCAACGACCCGTCCCAGGACCCTCTCAAGAGAGCGATAAACCTGAAACAGAGAGCTATTATTTTCAATAATTTATTGAAGGTTGAGTACTTGAGTATGAGATCCCAATGATAGTTCGGCTGAGATGCAGCTGCATATAGAGCAATGCCAGGACGAGCCTCATGACCGTTTAATTCGTCAGGAAGCGCGGGTTGAGATGGCCATGCTTCAGGTGTGAGAATCCACGGTGGTCCCGTCCACCATAATGAGTGGCTTTGAAGTTGAGCAGTAGTTAATCCTCGTGATGAGCAGTCGGCTGGGTTGGACGTACCTGGTACGTATTTCCAATGTGCGTTCGCAGTGAGCTCTTGAAGTTGAAAAACTCGATTTCTCACGAAATCCTTCCAGCGCGATGCATGAGATTTGATCCACGTGAGTGTCACAACAGAGTCCGTCCGCAGGTGAGTTGCTGTAACGTTCAACTTCAAGGTGGCTTGAACGTATGGCATGAGTCTTGAGAGCAGCTGTGCTGCGGTGAGTTCGGGATGGTGAGCCGTTTGAGCGGTGCTACCTTCGTTTTGGAGCACACCAATGAAATCGTGGCGCCATTAGAGCCGTGGACGGTGATAAATACGACTGCAGCCATTGCCAATTGAGACGTATCAGAAAAGCCGTGAAATTCCACTGACGAGGTACTCCATGTGGTTTGAGAGGTGCTACCTTGGATGTATCACCGAGGTATTGAGAGCTTGCAAGCTTGTGAGTTCTTTTCTGATAATGAGCCACCGTGATGAGAGCTGGGATGGCAGTGGTTTATCCCATTGGAGCTTCATGTAGCCAAAGCTCCTGCAAGAGCATCTTCGCCTTGATCACCACTGGGGATACAAAGCCCAATGGATCGAGTATCTGAGCCACTTCAGACCAAGCGAGGCGTTTGGTGAGATGATCGGTGTGCGACGAGATCCTTGTTGAGAATGTGAATGAATCTTCTTGAGGAAGCCATCGTAATCTGAGTCTTTTGGTTACGCAATCGTCAATGTAGTTTGTGAGCCCTGGTCTTTTTCTGCTTGAACCGCAGTGAGTACATCTTGATGAGTCGCGTGCCACCTTGCTAATGGGAAGCCGCCCGCCATGCACAAGTCCGTTGAGCAGTATTGACTACCTGCTGAACGGTGTCGTCGCCTCCAGAATTGTCATCAACACATCGACCGTTGTTAGATGATATGGCACTTCATTGAGTTGTTCATCTATCCAGTGAGTCCGTTGTAACTTTCAGTCATCTTCATGCACGTTGATCTGCCTATACCCTTTGGTGATGTCAGTGGCAACTAAGTGCCGAACTTGTCGAATCCAGAGCAAGACATCGGTGATGTCGAAATGCAGTTTGGCTCCTGTGTGCATGAGATCATTAAATGAGCGGCTGGATGTAGATGCACTCGAGCCATTAAATACCACACGTAATGTTGTGGTTGCACTGTCTGGTTTGAGCACTCCATGATGTGGCAAGTAATCTTGTATGTGCTGACTGGAAACGGGTAAAGCTTCATGTGATTGAGCTCTCGATAGAGTATCATAAACTGATGATACAGATGTCGATAGTTGTCATCTCGTGAGAGTCTTCTTTGTAAACCTTTCAAATATCGATGCGCAGTGAGATACGAATCGCCAAGAGTATCAAGTGATGATTTCAGTGTAAGTCGAACTCTGTATCGACCTGTTGAATTCCGTGAAACAGTACTCTTGAAATGTTCTTCACATCTTTGCTCGTCAGGAATAAGATCAAGATTGTTGCTCGCAGGCTCTTCTTCTTGTATCCAGATTTCGCCAGCAAGTCGTCAAGAGCATCTTCTCCCTCCTGAACGGAGGCATGATGCACGGTGGCAATTGCCGATGATGATGTATTAACAGGTCCGAGAACGAGCTATCCGAAGAGAGCTGCGCAATTGGCATCAATGTATCTCGTTTGATGATGTTGGGCTTGATGATCTGTCCATATGAGTCAGCTCCAATGATGATATCCACTGGCCGTGGTGTTAGGAAATCTGGATCAGCCAAGGTCAGCTTGGTGAGATGCGGCCATTCTTGTGGTGCAGCGTTGAAGGATGGCAGGATGTTTGTTAACGTCTGCAGAATGTGAGCTTGAATAATGACGTCTGTTCTTGAATGAAATGAGTGGAGCGTAAGCATTCAACTCCTCGAGTTTGCGTCGCCTTCTTCGCCACCAATTCCCGTGATGAGAATGACGGAATGATGACGAGTGATGTTGAGCTGGCGAACGAGAGATTCTGAAACAAAGGTAAGTTCTGAACCTGAATCAATGAGAGGCCGCATACACATTGAGTATGAACAGATGAGCTGATCTGAGCCAAGGCCGTAGCGAGTAATGTTGAGTGTAATGAGCGGGCCAAAGATGAGTGAGCGACGATTGCACCATCTTCCTATTGAGCTGACGCAGCTGAGCTGGTGATCGGCTTCGCTGATGAGTTCGATTGATGAGCCTCATGCAGCATCGTGTCGGTTGGTGCACTTCTTGCACCCCCGTGAGCCTTTACATGAGTGGCCGTTGTGGCGGCCGAGGCATTTAAACCAAATCCTCCGTGGTATGACTAATTTTTGTCGATTGCCTGTTGAAAGATCCCTAAATTACGTACACATCACAATGAAGTGAGTGCCGTTGCAACAATCGCACGGGTAAATTAGATGCTGCCGTGCGGGCCGGTTGAGCTGCCACATGCTGAGCTGTCAACGTGCGCTTTGCTGTTGAATGAGCGCCGACGGCTGTGAAGCTTCAAGATATGCATGCTCCTTGAGAAACGCCTTGTTCGCCTCTTCGAGATGCATTGAGATTTGGATAACCTCCTCTAACGGCATGTCCTCTGCACAAGTTGGCAGCGTGTCGCCAATATTCCGCACCGTCGCCAGGTGGTTCATTTAGGATGAGCTCCGTGGACAAGCGCACGGGTGAGGCTTGGCGTTCCGATGTGCGAGCCGGTTCTCGAGCAGCGGCGTCGTGGTCTCCGTACCGCCCGTACCCGCCTTTGCGGGTTCCGTCATGTTGAGCCGTCCCTGAGCTGCGCACGATGAAATACCTGAGAAATGTCGAGACACGTGTAAGAAATGCTGCACGAATCGAGAACGTTCGAGAGACGCGTGAGAAAAACACTATGCAAATCGAGAGTCTACAATGTCATGTATTGAGCACGTGAAAATGTCTATTTACACTCGCGGGAGCGCGTGAACATGTTTTCGAAACACTCGTGAGCGCGCGGGAGAATGTCTGTCCTTCACTCGCAAAAGCGCGCGATAATGTCCACGTGGCATGTCGTGAAGGACATGCCCT